GAATAAACATTGTGAAAATGACTCTACTACCCAAAGCAATCTACAGATTCAATGCAAACCCTATCAGACTACCACTGGCATTTTTCAAAGAACTAGAACAAATAATTTCACAATTTGTATGGAAACACAAAAGACCCCGAATAGCCAAAGCAATCTTGAGAAAGAAAAACAGAGCTGGAGTAATCAGGCTCCCTGACTTCAGACTATACTACAATGCTTCAGTAGTCAAGACAGTATGGTACTGGCACAAAAACAGAAATATAGATCAATGGAACAGGAAAGAAAGCCCAGAGATAAACCCACGTACATAAGGTCACCTTATCTTTGATAAAGCAGCTAAGAATATACAGTGGAGAAAAGACAGCTTTTTCAATAAGTAGTGCTGGGAAAACTGGATAGCTACATGTAAAAGAATGAAATTAGAACACTCCCTAACACCATACACAAAAATAAACTCAAAATGTATTCAAGACCTAAATGTAAGGCCAGAGACTATCAAACTCATAGCAGAAAACATTGGCAGAGCACTCTTTGACATAAATCACAGCAAGATCCTTTTTGACCCGCCTCCTAGAGAAATGGAAGTAAAAACAAAAAGAAACAAATGGGACTTAATGAAACTTAAAAGCTTTTGTACAGCAAAGCAAACCATAAACAAGACGAAAAGACAACCCTCAGAGTTGGAGAAAATATTTGCCAGTGAAGCAACTGACAAAGGATTAATCGCCAAAATTTACAAGCAGCTCATGCAGCTCAATATCAAAAAAAAACAAACAACCCAAGCCAAAAATGGGCAGAAAACCTAAACAGACATTTCTCCAAAGAACATATACAGATTGCAACAAACATATGAAAGAATGCTCAACATCACTAATCATTAGAGAAATGCAAATCAAAACTACAATGAGGTATCACATCACACCAGTCAGAATGGCCATCATCAAAAAATCTACAAATAACAAATGCTGGAGAGGGTGTGGAGAAAAGGGAACCCTCTTGCACTGTTAGTAGGATTGTAAATTGATACAGCTGCTATGGAGAACAGTATGGCGGTTCCTTAACTAAATAAAAATAGAACTACCATACAAACTAACAGTCCCACTACTGGGCATATACCCTGAGAAAACCGTAATTCAAAAAGAGTCATGTAGGGCTTCCCTGGTGTCTCAGTGGTTGAGAGTCTGCCTGCCGATGCAGGGGACGTGGGTTCATGCCCCGGTGCAGGAGGATCCTGCATGCCGCAGAGTGGCTGGGCCCGTGAGCCATGGCCACTGAGCCTGCACTTCTGGAGCCTGTGCTCTGCAACAGGAGAGGCCACAACAGTGAGAGGCCGGCATACCGCAAAAAAAAAGTCATGTACCACAATGTTCATTGCCGCTCTATTTACAATAGCCAGGACATGGAAGCAACCTAAGTGTCCATCAGATGAATGGATAAAGAAGATGTGGCACATATATGCAATGGAATACTACTCAGCCATAAAAACAAACGAAATTGAGTTATTTGTAGTGAGGTGGATGGACCTAGAGTCTGTCACACAGAGTGAAGTAAGTTCAGAAAGAGAAAGACAAATACCTATGCTAACCCATATATATGGAATCTAAAAGAAAAAGGTCATGAAGAACCTAGGGGCAAGACAGGAATAAAGACGCAGACCTACTAGAGAATGGACTTGAGGATACGGGGAGGGGGAAGGGTGAACTGGGACAAAGTGAGAGAGTGGCATGGACATATATACACTACCAAATGTAAAATAGATAGCTAGTGGGAAGCAGCTGCATAGCACAGGGAGATCAGCTTGGTGCTTTGTGACCACCTAGAGGGGTGGTATAGGGAGGGTGGGAGGGCGGGAGATGCAAGAGGGAAGAGATATGGGGATGTATGTTTATGTATATCTGATTCATTTTGTTATAAATCAGAAAGTAACACACCATTGTAAAGCAATTATACTCCAATAAAGATGTTAAAAACATTTTTTTGATTAAATAAATGGAATATAAGTATATATCTGCCGCCACATTTTTTTTTGCGGTACGCGGGCCTCTCACTGTTGTGGCCTCTCCCGTTGCGGAGCACAGGCTCCGGACACGCAGGCTCAGCGGCCATGGCTCACGAGCCTAGCCGCTCTGCGCGACATATGGGATCTTCCCGGACTGGGGCATGAACCCGTGTCCCCTGCATCGGCAGGCGGACTCTCAACCACTGCGCCACCCGGGAAGCCCCACATTTTATGTTATATAGAAAATATAAGAAGAAAACACTGAGCTTAAGAATCAAAACTTTCCAAAATTGAATATGCATATAGCATAGGTAATATCACACTTAACTTTGGATGTCCAATTCTTTTATTTTTAGCCATCTTATAAAAACATTTTTTAAGATTAATATTGAACTGGGAGTTACATTCATGATAGAATTTGTTTCTATTTACTTGAGATAGTCTAACATTTGCCTTAAACACTTGCAAAGCAACTCCATGGAGAGCACTTTAGAACATTTCCTTTACGCAGGCATTTGAGAATATACATGGACAGTCAGTGTGTGAGATTTAGCCAAGAAAATCTCTCTGAAACAAAATAATATTTTAAAGCCACACATCACTTTACATGTACTATTATTCTAGACTCTGTGAAATGTACAGGGTTCTGTCTCCAGTCTACATCTGCAGCCACTCCTCAGGTGTTCTCTGGACCTCATGTCCGGAAATGTTCTCACCTTCAAGATCTCAAAATCTGAGTTTCCATTTTCTGATGATAAATCTGTCTTAGCATTTCTCGTATTTTTCTAACTCCTATTGAACTTGATGATTAATTTATCATCTGTTGCTATTCTTTACCCTGTGCTATTTTTGCAGCTGGACACAGCTGTTCTGGCTTTACATGTCTCTATCCAACAAGAAAAAAATAATAGCCTTTTAAGGGACATCATTTTTTTGTTACTTTAGAACACCACGTTCCTATGACTTTCTGCCACTCCTGTCTAGTAAACCCTCAGTTTTGAATCTCACTGTTAATTCTGCCTGTTTCTGTTGCATAATGGTGCAAAACTAATGAGAGCCAGTGAATGAGCAACCCTGTAATTAATGTCTATATCAGAGACACTTCAGTTTCAAAAGTGAGAGAGGATATTATAAAACTGGTATAAACTAGCTCTGTCTGAGAGAAACAAAAGTAGGCCTATTTTCCCATCAGAATTTGTCTCAGGGATGCTTGAAATTTTCTTATTTTTAAAAAATTTTAGGCATTCCCAGTGTCAGCTTTAAGTTTAAGCTGATAAGAAGTTCAAGCTCAAGAAGTGAATTCCTCTGTCTCATCCCAAATTCAGTTCAGCCAGGATCAATTCCTTTCTCCTTCCATGAAAAGACAGATCTCACCACCTCAAAATATTTCTCTCGGTCTTCTTAGTCCTTTTCTTTGTCTGAGTTTAAAAAGAAAAGTTCTTCAGTTCTTCCTCAAAATTCTATTCATTGTTCTACTACCTTGGCTTTCTTTTGAGGTCAGAGCAGAGGGTTGAGGCTATAGCTCTCATAATCTCTTGCCTTTCCTCTTCTACTAATCCCAGCCTCCCAGGAGGTAGAAGAGACGTCTTTCCAAGCCACAGACCTAGGCATTATCTAGGAGTCCCTCTTTGGTTTTATATACATTTTTTCCACACAGGACTTGCTCATCCATCATGATAGATTCGAGCGACACTTAAGCAACTGTCACAACCCAGCCTGCTTTCTACAGATGTGTTGGTTGATGGATAAAATTCTTTCTTCCAGTGTTGCTACTGGAAGTAGTTAGAAAGTCCAAAGTTGGAAAGTTCAAAGCTGAACTTATTTTTTCCATTGAGCCTATAAATTTTACTAGTCCAAGTGTAAAAATCACTACATGTCCTTACATAGTCATAGTTGTGAAACCTTGGGTCAGTCATAAATGGCCCTCTTTTCAGTATCTCCAGATAAAATTAGTCACCAGGTCTCGAAGGTTGTTCTTCCACCACACTTCTCACACTTATTACCAAGGTGTGCATTATTATTGATACTCTGTCAGATAGCTCCACAGAGTACTTCTGCCAGCTTCATCTTGAAGTGTAACTCTGATCATTTCCAGCCACTGAGCTATTTGAGAACTTCTTGCATTCCTTCTCTTGGATGCTGTGGTACATACAGACCCCTTAGTTTGCATTCATGGCTTTTCTTTCTCTGGCCTCAAAACATACTCCCAGTTGTTTTTGCTCACAATATTCCATTAGCCAGTTTGGATGGCATGCTATTTCCTAATTGCGACCAGAATGGTCATTTTGTTCCTCCCTCTAGGGACATCTTCTGTTGAAACTCCGTATTCTTAAGGCCTTTATCGTAGTCAGTATCTTCCATGAGAAATGGTTTACTCTCCAACCAGATGTGAATTCTCCTTTCTTTAATTCCCATGTTTTTACTATTTTTACTTTTCATCTCATAAATATTATTTGTGTACTGTTTTACCCTCCTCATAGAGTATTATTTTCTAAAGAAAAGGATGTATGATTAACCCATGGTTAAAACACTGGGACACCATTCTTACTTACACTAGTCAATCATTTATTGCTTGTACAAATGTGACTATTTGATTGTAGTAAAAATATGTGTATAACTGTCATGTAAAAATAATACTAGATCTCTCTGCAGAGTTGTTTTCAATAATCAGGTAGTAAGTATCATTTTACCTAATAAATAGTTAAAAGGATTGATGCATGAAGAAAGTACAGGATTTATTCACAGATGAGTCCCAGTCTCTGTTAGAACTTGAAAGAGATACTAGGTCCTTTATACTCCTCTTTCCCCGTTCATTTTAAACAGAGCCCACCATATGCATGCAAACTGATGCAATCATTCATTAAGTAGATTCAACCTCTCATTTTCCTTAAATCATCGCTGATTTGAGCTTACTGTTTTCTCAACTTAGGCCTAAGAAAATTATGGCCAGTTATTCATTCTCTAATTAACCTAAAAGTGAACTATATTTCATTGCTTGTAGGATGGTATGGGAAATCTGAGAGTCACCAAGAAGGGAATCCGACTTGAAGGTATATCTGAGTTTCTACTTCCATTGTATGTGAAAGAAATTCATTCCCGAAAGGTATGTGATGCTATTGGCTTTGGCTTACTGTGAAAGATAATTTAGAGGTTATGTTTTAGCTTAAAATAGGAGGACAGATACCTCTTATCTCTTCAGTATGCATTTAGTTATTTTAAGCTAAAGACTTATTTGAAGAAATCAAAACAATGAAACAATTGAAAAACCAGTGGAGAAGTTAATTTCAAACCGACAAATTAGAGAGCCATTTCCAATTAAACTGCAGTGTTGCTTTTGTTAGTCTATAAAATATGCCCTTCTGTTTTCAATGGATGGACCTTAAAAATCCAGTTATATTAATTCCAAAAGGGGCATTTAACATATTTTGAGTAATTTCTGCAAGAACCTTGACTTGAATAAATGATATTAATTCAATGTATTTTACATCTTTTCAGCTTTAACGGACATGCATTTTCTAAAAGAGGTGACAAAAGGTCTTAGTACAGAAATTAACTTTATTTCTGGATGTACATTATTTAAAACCAGTAAGAATATTTATTCTTTCAAATGTATGTGTGTATGTGTGTGTGCTATGTGTGTTTTATCACCTAGCAGCATGCTAAAAATCAAAGCATTATAGCTTAGACATTGTTCATTTTGGCTTAAGTGTGTTATTTCTCAGAAGGTAGTATCTTTGGTACATCAGAATCTCACTAGACTCTTTCAAATGTAATAGGCTTTTCCCTGGGATATGTGTGTATGTGTGGAAATAAATTTAGTAAAACAGAATAATTAGAAAGATTTTTATATAAAATGTGGAAAGATTACTAACCTTATTTCATAAATATGAAAGTGTATTTTAGACTAGAATGTTTTAATATTAGCAATATTTTAGCAAGTGAGTTGCATAGTAAGCCAAAATTTTATAATTTGCTTCGAGGCTATTTTTCCCTTAAATATCAAAGTGAACCCAGAACAAAGGATTCCTTTTCATAAAAATTTTAATTAGGATAATTATATTAAGTTTAAATTTTATTTTGTTATGTGTGAACTTGCAGAGCTTCCTAATATACTCTATTGACTGCTACTCTGGGTACTGGAAATTTTTTATTAATATTACTTTCTGGATTTTGGTCAGAGAATAAATAATACAATAGACACATGTATGAACACCTGACCTTACTGATTAAACTACCAAAACTAATTAAACTTAAAATAAAAAGTTTGTTTGGTGTTTTTATTTGATTTGATTGTTAGGAAAACTGAAAAAATATAGCATGCTTACACATGTTAGCATCTTCCCTTTGATTGGAAGTTATCACCACTCTGTTATTTTCTGGTTCCTTCTTGTGTTTGGCACCACTAAACAGTTTCATATTTAAAGAAATGAAAACTCATACTTGGAAATAAAAACAGTACTTAACATAGGACAAAGGTGAGAGTCATCATAGGCAGGAACTTCTTTGAAAATATATCCTATTGATAAGTCTGGGATGGCAAAAAAAAAAAAAGATTTATCTTCAAAGCCATTTTAGACCAATTTGGAGCAGCTTCCTGCAAGTACAGTTTAGAGAAGGATTGTGAAGCCCTCTGCCAGCAGGAGGGTCATAGAATTTACCTTCCTAGTAGGAACATTTTTTAGGGCAAGCAACAGATGTAAACGAGGATACTCCTGGGAAACGGGGATGTATGTTGACTCCAACTATGGACCAAATAAGAAAGAATTCACTGACGATATAGCATTAAAATGTGAGGTGGTGGCAGATGGGCTTTCTAACCTTTATCTCTGGGAAAGTTCACAAGCATTTCTTTTTTTTTTTTTTTTTTTTTTTTTTTTACGGTGCGCGGGCCTCTCACTGTTGTGGCCTCTCCCGTTGCGGAGCACAGGCTCCGGACACGCAGGCTCAGCGGCCATGGCTCACGGGCCCAGCTGCTCCGCGGCATGTGGGATCTTCCCGGACTGGGGCACGAACCCGTGTTCCCTGCATCGGCAGGCGGACTCTCAACCACTGCGCCACCAGGGAAGCCTGTTCACAAGCGTTTCTAAAACTCACCATATTGATAGAAATCTATATGCTCCCTTTCACATCCCCAGTCCTGTCGCTTCTCCTCTCGTTATCATTTGCCTCTCAGTAACTGCGAAGCATGATACAGCCCAGGCAGGTGGCAGCATGTTCCATCAGCAGTCAGACGGGAGGACTGGTTTGAGAACAGAAAAAGAAGGAGACTCATTTATTCCGTGGAAATGTCTCTACCCACATACCACAAAAAAATAAATACTTAAAGAAAAATATATCTTTTATAAGCAGTCCCCATATTAGGATTCTCTTGTCCATGAATGAATGCAGTTGTTTTTTCTCTGCCGTGAAGTTTATTCACTGTTTCAAAAAGCCAGCCACAATGTTCCTGAGCCTTAGTTTTCTCATTAATAAAGTGAGTTTGGTAGAAACTTATCAAAATACGTGATTCTTAGGTTAAGAAAGAACACAACAAATTCAGTAATACTAGTAGAGATGAGGTTTTACATTATTTTTTTAATTCCACTTAGTTCAGTCTTTCCACACATTTTCATGTATTCAAATGTTTTTATGGTAAAATGTCAAAATTCCTGTAGGCAAAATAAGAAAATCTATTAAATTCAACAGATACTTACAAAGATTCAATTAAGCTGAGAAAAATAGTAGTGTACAAACAATTTTGATTTGTGCATATTTTTTTCCTGCAGTTTTGATTTGTGTGTGTGTTTGTGTGTGTGTTTTCCTGCGCTAATGCCAGTGGATTGCCTTCTTTCTATTTAGCCAGTATTCCACTCTGAAATAAAGAATTTTCTTATTTAAAATTATTTTCTGGTTACATAGGTATTTATTTAATCCTATACATGGAAATGTAATACATTTCTATTGGTCAGAAAATGCAGCTGCCCACAGACACACACATCCAGCCTCTTAACTTAAACCATGGGCTGTTTCTACCCTACAAGCTAACTGTAGGGTAGTTGGATGTCTCCACCACCAAATTTCTATAGATATTTGAAATTCTATTATTATCCAACGCAGTTTACTCTCTTATTCATGCTTAAAGAAAAAAAAAAAAAAACGTTTTAAGTGGTTGATCATATCAGCACACAGAGAAACATATTCTATGTTTAAAGTATCTTACAATTCAATACATCTTCAAAATTAACATTATTTTCAGAGAGTAGGTACTCACTGAACATTTGTGAAGTTAAATATATAGTTTTCTTTAGATACAAAATATTCAAAGAACTTGGGATTTGACCTTGCATATATTATAACGTTCTGAATGGGTCTTTAATGCATGTGGTCTAACTTTAGGTTAAATATTTGAAGTATCAGGAAATTAGGACTTGTAATCACCAGATTTGTTTGTTTGTTTGTTTTGGGGTTTTTTTGTTGTTGTTTTTTTTGCGGTACGTGGGCCTCTCACTGTTGTGGCCTCTCCCGCCGCGGAGCACAGGCTCCGGACGCGCAGGCCCAGCGGCCATGGCCCACGGGCCCAGCCGCTCCGTGGCATGTGGGATCCTCCTGGACCGGGGCACGAACCCGTGTCCCCTGCATCGGCAGGCGGACTCTCAACCTCTGCGCCACCTGGGAAGCCCAATCACCAGTTTTTTAATGTAATTGAAAATTTCTCAAGGTTTCATGAATTCAGAGTGCTCAGGTGGTTAGATTATCTATATTTCACTGATTGTTACCAGAAAAAAATTGCATCATTAGTTCTCTAGGACTATCTTAAGTATTATCCAACTTCATCTGATATTAGCTGAATACCTCTCATATTTTTTTCCGTTTAAGGATCCTCATTTAAGGTGGTACCTCACTATTTCCCCTCATCCCAGCATCCTGCATGACAGATTGATAATTGTGTCAGGGGAACGGCTACCAGATAATTCCAGTTCCTGTAACTCCACAACAAAACAAAGAAGTCTACATTTTTTTTTAGGATTCCTGTGTTAGCAGAGCTGTGAGCAATGTTCTACCCTCTCTTCACTTCCAGTCATTTCACTTGGCTTCAGAGCTGTGATACTAACTGGGTTCTTGGTTACAATCAGTTTTTCATCTCCTGTGTTCAATTCTTCTTTATAGAATTCAGACACAAAGCCATGGAGCCAGGCAAGTTCAGCAAATCTCTTCCCTGGTTATACAACATGATAAATCTCCTGACCCTGTGTCCTTCAGCTACCTTGGCAAATCTCTTCTATGCAGGTTTCTTTCTCCCATGCAAACCAATCACAAATAGATATCTGCAAGCTTCTATAATCTTTTTATTATTATCATTCTTCTTATTATTTCACATTAAGATGTTTAATACTGATGAACTTTATTATTTACTGTAATGTCTTATTCAAGTTAAAACACACACATACACACAAATCATCCCAAAATCTTTACACTCAAGGAAAAACCTGGTGAACATCATGACAATTATATAATTATATATTTGCACAAATAAAATGATAAATATATAGGGAGACATGTACCTGCTATTTATAATTAGTATATTATACATAATTAAATAGAAGAAACATAAACTGACATAAATTGGAAAGAATTGCTGACCTTTAATATTTTTTTACCACAAAAAAATTTTTTTTAAACTGCCTTTATGGTTAAGAATAAAAGACAATGAAAACCATTAGGAAACTGGATGCATTAGCTCCATGTTTTCATTTCAGACAGTCTTCATTAACTCCCTGCAGTGCAATTTGGGGTGATTAGCTTCCCTCCAGTTTGTCTTCACCCGTATTCATTTTCAGGTTTTTTTGATAATTATATGATTTTAACTTTGTCAGAGTTCATAATATTTACATTCTGTTCTGCAAATTTAATTGCCTTGGCACTTTGGTCTTAACTCACAATACAGATGCCTGCCATTCTCACCACCAGTCCTTTTTTTATGGATTCTCCAAGACTGAGTTCATTATTCAAATCATTCCTTCCTTTCTTGTATTTCATTGTTAATTAGCTTTGTGTGTTTGTTTGCTGATACTTGAAATATTGCATGCGAAAGGTGTCTGACTGTTATCTTTATTCTTTTCTGGA